CCCAACGTGAATAATCAGAGACAAGAGTCGAGCTCTTCCGGTCAAGGGAACGGGGTCAACATTCAAATTGTTGAAGTCACCCCCTATGAGATGCCGCCGTCTCGAACCATCGATCCCTCTGTCCCGTCGGAGGTCTCAAGAACTAAACAAAAGAAGGAAAAAAAGAAAAGTCAGGGGAGCAAGAACTCGACGCCTATGAAGCTGACTCCAATCCGACACAACCCGATGAAAGCTCTGCAACACTGGTCGCCAGTTAAAGACAAGAAGAACAAGAGTAAAGAGCGGCGAGTAGAGTTAACCTTACAGCAGATCAGCGAGTGGACAGGGAAGACTCAATCGAAAGAGGGGAAGAAGGAGGAGGCTGCGGCAGGGGGAGTTGCGATGGAGTCGGCGGTCGACATTGAGGAGGGGGGCCTGCCGAGTGCTGTTTCCCGGTGATTTTGTCCCTCTCTTACTGCTTTCCTGTTCCTGTCTTTCCGTCTCTTTTCGTCATTTTTGTTAATTTTGTTTAATGGCTGGTTTTAATTGGTATAACTTCAAAATTTTCTCGTGGAATGTCGGGGGTGCCGGAGGAACCTCCTTCTCGCGTTCCCTGAAACTTGCGTTGCAGTTGCACAGGCCGGACTTTGTTATTCTCCTTGAACCTCAAGTTAGTGGAGAAATGGCGAACAGAATTTGTGAGAAGCTGGGTTTCCCGGATGTCCTGCGAATTGAAGCTCAGGGACGGAGTGGTGGGATTTGGCTTTTTTGGAACTCTCAGAATTTTTGTGTGCAGGTTGTTTCGGCAGGGTCGCAACATCTTTCTGTGAGAGTGTCGAAGGGTAACCAGGCCCCGTGGATGCTCACAGCAGTGTATGCATCCCCGCGCCAGCATCTTCAACGTCTTCTCTGGAATGCTATCATCGAGCAAAGCAAGCAGGTGGATTGCCCATGGATTCTCACCGGCGATTTCAACGCAATTCTTCATCCGGACGAGAAAACAGGGCCTCCCTCACCAGCAACCTTTCGTAGATGTAAGCGTTTTGGGGAGTTTCTGAATGAAGCAGAGTTGGTGGATCTCTGCTTCTCTGGCCCTCGGTTTACGTGGACCAGGGGGAAGGAGAGTGACACCTATAAAGCCAGCAGAATCGACAGAAGCATTTGCAACCTGGAATGGAATGAGGGATTCCCAAATACGTCGGTGACCCATTTGGCGCGCCTGAGCTCCGATCACCACCCGATTCTTACTACGGTGTCTAATCAGGGAGGCTCTAACCTTTCCATGAGACGTTTCAAATTGGAAGCTGCCTGGTTCACTCATGAGGATTTTCTCTCTTTTCTTGCAGATTCTTGGGACTCACTTAATGTTTTGCCTATGGCGTTGCAGGATCTCTCCAAAAAGCTCCAGCTTTGGAATACATCGACCTTTGGAAATGTGCACCAAAGGAAGAAGAGGCTGGTGGCCAGGATTGAAGGGATAGAGCGACGTTTGGCAAACTCTTTCTCTCCAGGTCTCCTCAAGCTGCACACAAAACTGGAGAAGGAGTTAGATAAGACGATGGAGCAGGAGGAGCTTATTTGGTTCCAGAGGGCGAGGGAGCATTGGGTGAAGTTCGGAGAACGGAACATAGCTTATTTCCACAAGCTTGCCAACATTAGACGACGGAGGAATAAGATTGACTGTCTTAAGAATACTAACGGGGAATGGGTCAGCGAGAAGGATGAGTTGTTGCAACTTGTTTATAACTTTTTCTCTGAGCTTTATTTGCAGGATAACTCACCTTATGTTGACCTCCTCCCCAAAGGAGACTTCACGCGGCTGAACCAAAAAGACTGGCTCCATGTTCTCCGGCCTTTCAGCATCCTCGACATCCACAAAGCGGTCTTTGAGATGAAACCGCTTCAAGCGCCGGGGCCGGATGGCTTCCAAGCTTTGTTCTACCAGAAAGCTTGGGCGGTGGTGGGGAAAGCGCTCACTGATATGGCTCTGTTCTTTTTTGAGCAGGGAACGTTGCCTGAAGCGGTCACAGAGCCCACGGTGGTCCTCATTCCAAAAGTGGACAAGCTTGAGTCGGTTACCCAGCTTCGCCCGATCTCCCTCAACAATGTCTGTCTCAAAGCAATCACTAAAGCCCTGACCTGTCGTTTGAAGGAGGTCATGAGGAAGCTGGTCTCTCCAAGGCAAAGCAGCTTCATCCCAGGACGTCAAACGAACGACAACATCCTTATTGTTCAGGAAGTGCTGCACTCTTTGCGGAAAAAGCGGGGAAAGAAGGGAGGAATGGTGTTGAAGGTGGATCTCGAAAAGGCGTATGACAGGCTTCGTTGGGACTTTTTGAGGGACACCTTGATTGAAGTAGGGCTCCCGAGTTTGTGGATCAGGGGGATCATGTACTGTGTTGAACACAACAAGATGCGAATCTTGTGGAATGGGGAGCTCACGCCTATCATCACCCCCACTCGGGGCGTTCGCCAGGGAGACCCTCTTTCTCCCTATCTTTTTGTTCTATGTATGGAACGTTTATCTCATAGAATAGATCAGGTCGTCCGCGATAAGCAGTGGAAGCCCATTCGCTTGTCTCCGAGGGGTCCTGCCTTATCTCACTTATTTTTTGCGGACGATTTAGTGCTTTTTGCAGAGGCAGAAGGGAGCCAGACAAGAGTCGTAAAGAATTGCCTGGATGAGTTTTGTGCCAGTTCAGGGCAACGGGTGAGCTATGACAAGTCTGTCTTGTATGTCTCGCCGAATGTCAGACAAGACAGAGCCCGTCGGCTTAGTGACAAGGCTGCCATCCCGCTGGTAACTAATCTCGGCCGGTATTTGGGCATTGAAGCTATCCATGGGCGGGTTACTAAGAGCCGATACCAGTCCTTGATTCTGAGGATCCAAAAGAAGCTAGCTCCTTGGAAAGCAAGGAGGCTCTCCCTTGCCGCGAGGCTAACGGTTACTCGTTCTGTCTCTCTTGCTATTCCCACCTACTCTATGCAATCTGAGTTAATCCCTAAGAATGTCTGCAATGCTATAGATAAGATTAACAGGGATTTTATCTGGGGAAAAGAGGAGGACAAGGGGAAGATGCATCTGGTGCCTTGGGAGAAGATGACAGAACCTAGACTTCAAGGGGGTGGAGCCCTTCGGCCCCTCAGACAGGCTAATCTTGCTCTTCTGGCTAAAGGAGGGTGGCGTATCCTCAAAGAGAAGGAGGCTCTCTGGACTCAGATTTTTAGCACTAAGTATGGGAAGCAGAGAGAGGGCCTCTACATGTTTCGGCCTATTCAGGGAAGTTCCTTTGCCTGGAGAAGCTTTACCAAAGCTTCCCACCTTCTCAGAAAAGGGTGTGCGTGGAATATTCAGAATGGTAGAAGCACTAATTTTTGGTGTGATGTGTGGGTTTTGCAGGTTCCTTTAAGGGATGTGGCTATCCAGCGCATTCCGGAAGAGAGGCTGAGGGACACGGTTGCTAGCTATTTGGATGATAATGGAGATTGGGATGTGGATCGTTTCTCGCAGTGGCTGCCTTTTGACGTTCAGCAGAAGATCACGGCAGTGGCAGTGGATGTTTTCTCTATGGAGAATGATACTCTCTTCTGGGCTCCTTCCCCGAATGGCCATTTCACTGCTAAGTCGGCTTTCCAGATCGCCATGCCCCAGCAAGGAAATCAGGACGAGAAGTTGTGGAAGAAGATCTGGAGTAACCCGGTGCCAGAGAGAGTTAGGTGCTTCAGCTAGCTGGTTGCGCTGAACAGGATTCCACTAACAGCCTGCTCTTTTACAGGAAGTGTGCCCCGTCGCCGATGTGTTTCCGGTGTAGTAGCTGCCCGGAAACAATGCTCCACCTGTTGAGAGACTGTCCTCCGGCTGTTTATGTTTGGAGCAGGAGCATTCCCCCCTCAGAGCAGCTTGGTTTTTTCGCAAGCGATCAGGAAGCTTGGCTGCGAGGGAATTTACTTAATGATGAACCTATGGCGAATGGAATGCCATGGAGTGCCTTTTTCAGTGTAACCATATGGCTTTTGTGGAAAAACTGTGCACAACGGTGTTCTAAGGTGTGCAGAAGGCTCTGACTGCACCTTCTCTGTTGCACTCTATTCAGCTGAAGTCGGACCTGTGGTATAAGGCGTGGTGCGCTCCTCTGTTGGGAACTAGTAATCGGGAGCCAAGAAGGAACCGTGTGACAGCTAGCATCCAGTGGAATTCTCCACAGCAGGGATGGGTAAAACTGAACATAGATGGCGCATCGGCGGGCAATCCGGGGCCTGCTGGTGCAGGCGGGCTGATTCGTGATGCTCAGGGACTATGGATAGCAGGTTTTGTGGCAAAGATTGGGGAAGCATCTGCGGCTTTGGCAGAGCTTTGGGCCTTCTACCATGGTCTTACTCTTGCTTGGAAGTTTGGGGTTAACAATCTTGTGATCGAGACGGATTCTCAGCTGGCGATTCTCCTCATTAATAATCGCCATGATCCGGTGCACCCGTATGCTGCTCTGTTAGCGTCCATTCGGAGGAGACTTGCTCAGGATTGGTTGGTTAGTATAGTTCATACATACCGAGAAGGGAATAGAGCCGCGGACTGGCTCTCGAAGCACAGTCTCGTCTATCCCTACGGTATGCATGAGCTGACTAACCCTCCTAGGGAGTTAGCACAGATTTCGCAGGACGATATTATGGGGGTGTCTTTTGATCGCCGTATAGTGGCGCCTTCCTCCTCTTAGCTTTTTTTCTCCTCCCTCCTTGTTTTTCTTGTTTCTTGGCTTTGGCCTCCCTTAATGCAAAAAAAAAAAAAATAACTCACTCAAATTCTTCACCCAAACTACCCATAATTTACTACTTTCATCTTTTCCAAAGTTAATTAACAACGTAAGATATCAAGTGGCAGTTCAACTATCAACAGTGGATCAAACATTCAAGCCACATCACCAACTTGACATCTTTATTCAGAAATGAGAACGTCACAAATTTGATTTTATCCGGATTACTTTGGCGGCGTTTAATAAAGAAATTACTGTTCATCCTTTCTTCACGTAAGTGTTTTACTTTTATTTATAACTGAACAAAATAATGTGCATATGCATAGTACTCTTTTCCCGACCAGCTCCTTTCAATGATTACCAACTTTGGTGGAGATCTATCTTAACTCCGCAACTTAGACCAGAAAAAAAAAGGCGGATCAGGTCAGTGTAATTATAGTGAGTAACGACTTAGGATAGGGTCAGACAATAACCATTGATTACGCGTTACTGACCTGAGTAACTAAATTTGGACTTTTAGATTTAAATAGACCCAGAAAATCCAGATCTAAGGGTTGTCAATTAAATTTTTCCTAGTGTTCTTAATCGACTATTATCTTCTTCGTTCTAACTCGAATTTTTTTTTTTTTTTTTGCACAGATGAAACGAGTTCGTTGTGCTCTAAAAAATGAGATCAATTTTCAAATTATTTCGAGAAACTTTTTTTCATACCACCTGTTACCAACTACATACCATATGGTAACTTCTTCGTTTTTAAGTCGTTTTTGAAAAAGTTTGCTCAGAAGAAACGAGTTCATCATGATATATTGTTTCTACAAATTTTTTGGGTAAAAAAATACTGGACAAAATATTACCATACTTTACCACTATGGTATGTGGGTGGTAACTTGTAGTAAACAATTATAAAAATCGTAAATGACAGTTAGTATACTCCTACTACCATATATTCAACCTACTTACCATATTGGTATGTTCATACCATCATGGTACGCTTTCTTACAATATGGTATTAAATATGGTAATGACTGGTAAAAGATTACTCAATTTCTTTTGTACTAAAAATATATCAAAGTGGACATCATTTCAAAGAGCATATTTAATATGATTTATCTTTGCAAAAAAAATTATATTTCGACTTAAAATAAGAGAGAAATCGTTCGTTAAAGATTAAAGGGGAAAAGATAAAAGACTTTCCAGAAGATAGAGGGATGTTGATATCATGCTGATGTGAACGAGTTAGTCATGGTTACTCACGGGAGCGGATGAGGTAACCCGTTCACATCAGCATGATATCAACATCCCTCTTTCTTCTGGAAAGCCTTTTATCTTTTCCCCTTTAATCTTTAACGGACGATTTCTCTCTCGTTTTATGTCAAAATTTAAATTTTTTTGCACAGATAAATCAAATTAAATGTGCTCTTTAAAATTATATCCACTTTGATATATTTTTATTAAAAATAAATTGAGTCATTTTTTACCAGTCATTACCATATGGTATGCTCTCATTTAATACCATATGGTAGAAAGCGTACGATGATGGTATGAACATACCAATATGGTAGGATGTCAGAAATCGATTTATCTCGGGTTTCTATATTTATTATTATTACTACTAATAAGGTAATTCTTATTATGGGTAGTAGTCTTCTAGTAGAATTAGGTTTATTGTTAGGGTTTCCTAGTATTTTCCTATATATATGTACTTTGGGTCTTTGGAAGGAGCACGGGCTGCGTACTATCGCGCAGGATGGTGAGGACGACGCGGCAAGTGGGCTGCCGCTGTCCGCCGTGGCTGATGGGGACAAGGTGAAAATCGCGCAGGCAGATGAAATCCTAATGAGTGCGACAATATCTCGGAGTCGACGTGGACTCAACGACGGGAGCAGCTGCGGCAAATCGTCGAGTACTGTAAGAGGAACGCGTCGCGACGCAAGGAGGACGGTGGTAATGACGCGACGGCAAGGCAGCACCGACCGTAGGTGCCGGCGGGACCGACGAGAAGCCGTTTGCGACCAGCGGCACAGCGGACGACGAAGTCGAGGGGACCGAGGAGAGCCGCGGGGTGGGGGAGCAGTTGGAGTACCCGCTGGCTATAGCTTCCACGGGGGCAACGACTGACGAAGAGGTGAGGACGTGGATGTGGTCGGAAGCAAGCCGGGCTCGTCGCCGTCGGGAGGAGGGCTCGATGCCGGAGGAGTCGCCGCGGGAGGAGTTGGATTTGAAGAAGCTAACGATTGAGGAGGAAGGCGGTGGCACCTCTTTGCTCACAGCTCTTCCAGAGTGGTATCTCACTGATGGCTCAGACCCCCCCCCCCCCCCCCCCTCCCGAAGGGGGCCTTCTCCACCTTCCACCTTAGCTGCGCAAGAAAGGCCCAAATTATGTTCTGGGTCTCCAATTGAGGATTTGGATGGGCCAAAGTCTGAGCCCATTACGGTTTTTTGTGGTCCAACTCTCGGGCCGAGAAAGAGAAAGACTATGAACGGGTCAAAGAGGCTAACGGGACTCAAAAGCAGCAAATATTTGAATTTCAATTAAGTTTTTTGGTAGTAGAGCTCATATATGGAGTTGGGCCAAATATGAGAGAAAAGCGGGCCCAACAAGGACTGTGTAGCGGGCCCAACACAAAACTGGTAGTGAGTTTAATTAACAGACGTGGGCCTTATCCTTTTGAGAACATTGGGCCACCTGGAGACCTTTTATGTGGGGTGGAATTAGAAGACAAAGTGGATGGGTATAGTGGTTTAGCTCATGGGCTTTCAGAAGAGTTTGAGCAACAAGCATGTGGATAAGCAAGAAGGCCAAGTCGAGGAGTGGTGCATGATTGGAAGAAACGAAAGTGCAAGAAATGGGGGAGTCAGCGTACGCATTATGTGGGAAGGAAAAGTGGGTCAAGGCGGTCAACCTTGAGGGCAAGGTTGGTCTGAAGGGGGAGGAGATGTTAGAAACCGATTTATCTCGGGTTTCTATATTTATTATTATTACTACTAATAGGTTAGTTCTTATTATAGTTAGTAGTCTTCTAGTAGAATTAGGTTTATTGTTAGGGTTTCCTAGTATTTTCTTATATATATGTACTTTGGGTCTTTCATCAGATAAGCAGAAGTTAATAAAAGAATTATCTCCTTAATCCCTCTCCCTATCCTCTCAATTCTTGACCCCAATCCCTCTAAAGGCCTAGGCCGATTCTCTTCTATTCTTCCCCAAATTCTCCTCAAATCCCTAAATCCCCAATTCTATTATATAAACCCTAAATTCTCAATCTTTAGATCTGATCTAGAAATTCGTTAGAAACTTTGTTTCTAACATTTGGTATCAGAGCTATGGTCGAAGACCTGAGTTCATCACAACTCTCTCGGGGACAACTTCCTACCAAATTGAAACTGATAAGTTCAACCGATATATCGGAGCTGACGTGGGTTCGAAAGCAAGAAAGAATATGGCAGATCGTGGAGTATTGGAAGGAGCACGGGCTGCGTACTGCCGCGAAGGATGGTGAGGACGGTGCGGCGGGTGGGCTGCCGCTGTTCGCCGTGGCTGATGGGGATAAGGAGAAAGTCTCGCAGCCAGATGAAATCCTAATGAGTGCAACAAACATCTTGGAGTCGACGTGGGCTCAACGACGGGAGCAGCTGTGGCAAATCGTCGACTACTGTAAGAGGAACTCGTCGCGACGCTGGGAGGACGGTGGTAACGACGTGACGTCAAGGCATCCGCCGGCGGGACCGAAGAGAAGCCATCTACGAGACTATGACCAGCGCCGCAGCGGACGACAAAGTCGAGGGGACCGAGGAGAGTCGCGGGGTGGGGGAGCAATTGGAGTGCCCGCTGGCTGTAGCTTCCAAGGGGACGACGACTGACGAAGAGGTGAGGACGAGGATGTGGCCGGAAGCAAGCTAGGCTCGTCGCCGCCGGGAGGAGGGCTCGATTCCCGGAGGAGTCGCCGCGGGAGGAGTTGGAGAAGAAGCAGGGAACGATTGAGGAGGAAGGTGGTGGCACCTCTTTGCTCACAGCTCTTCCAGAGTGGTATCTCACTGATGGCTCGGACCCCCCCCCCCCCCCCCCCCCCCCCCCCCCCCCCGGAAGGGGCCTTCTCCGCCTTCCACCTAAGTTGCACAAGAAAGGCCCAAAACCATGTTCTAAGCCTCCAATTGAGGATTTGGATGGGCGAAAGTCTGAGCTAATGTGACCAAAGTACGCAGTTTTCCTACTTTTTATGGGTTTTCAAAGCTTTTCTCCAATGAACAAGAACTTGAACAAAAGATAATGATGGAACACGATCAAACAGAATCCAACTCTTGTGAAAGGCCAATTGGTATATGAAACCAATCAAACAATCACCCACTCGTGAATAAGGCCAATCGCTATTGGGTAGAAGCTCGCCACAACTAGACGCGTTCTCTAGTTGATAAGAGACACGTGAAACTCCTAGATCACTCTCAACAGAAGCTTACACAAAGAACTAGTTCGTATGAACTTGTAACTTGAATTTTGATTGATAATTGAATGAGTTACAATGAGGAACTCAGCCTCTTATTTATAGACTAGCTAACACAAATCCAAAGCTGAAAATTAAAAACAAAAGCTACAAGTAAAAGAAAAAAACGCAATCCTTAAAAGACAAGTAAAAGGAAAACACAATCCTTAAAAGACAAGTAAAAGACTTGGTCAACAACTCCCTAGGTTCTAGCATTCCCTTGTGTTCCCACCTTTGATTCCTTTCCCACCTTGATCCTTTTCACACTTGAGACTCCCCTCCTCTTCCTTAGTCGAATCATCTTCTCCTTCCAAGCCCATTTTTCCTTCATGTTGGTCCACGAGTTGTAGCAATGTAATGGTCTTCCCATGATGATGATCCACGTCCATTTGAGCAAAGTGACGATCCAAATAGACAGCAAACTCCTCCCTTAACCTCTTTGCTTGTAGACGTGTAATTGGCCCTTCTTGTGACGAAATGGACTTGGTTTTGATGACCTCATCAGTCCCTCCCCCTTGAAAAAGATTTGACCTCAAATCCGAATTGTCCTCCAAATATGGTGCAAGGTCAGAAACGTTGAAGGTTGCACTTATCCCATACTCTCTTGGCAAATCGATTTTGTAGGCATTGTTTCCAACCTTCGAAATAACTTGGAAGGGACCTTCACTTCGAGGTAACAGCTTGGATCTCCTTTGATGAGGAAACCTTTCCTTTCTCAAGTGCACCCATACCCAATCTCCAACTTCAAATGATCGAGGCTTCCTATTGCGATTGACGTTCTTCATGATTTGCTCCATCCTCATCTCGATGTTCAATCTTGCCTTCTCGTGGAGATTTTTCACAAATTCAGCCTTCTTTGCTCCATCCATGTTAACTTGTTCCTTCAAGGGCAGAGGTGTCAAATCCAATGGTGTAAGTGGATTGAACCCATACACGAGCTCGAAAGGTGAATGCTTTGTGGTTGAATGCACAGCTCGATTGTATGCAAACTCGACATGTGGTAGACAATCTTCCCAAGTTTTGATGTTGCTCTTGATCACAGCTCGTAGCATTTGGGATAGAGTACGATTGACCACTTCAGTTTGTCCATCCGTTTGAGGATGACAAGTGTTGAAAACAGAAGCTTTGTGCCGAGTTTACTCCACAATGTCTTCCAAAAGTAGCTTAGAAACTTTGCATCTCGATCAGACACAATGGTACGTGGCATTCCATGCAACCTCACGATCTCCTTGAAGAACAAATCAGCCACGTTGTTTGCATCATCCGTCTTATGGCATGGAATGAAATGTGCCATCTTCGAGAAACGATCTCCAACCATCTTCGTCTTTCCCCAATTTCCTCCTGCCGTGAACCCTAAAATTGAAGAAACAAAAAGTATCGCTAACTCTTCGATTGCAATGTAGGCATCAAGGTTGATTCGGGAAGATTAGATTGTTGATGCTGGAGGAAAGATTGGAAAGACATAGTATTAGTTTCTTCCATTACTAGCTCCCTCACCCAGTTCACACTCATCTCATTCTTCTCTTTGCTTTCTTCTCTCGGTTCCAATAGGAACAACATGCTAAGCCCAAATCATTAATCCTACCGTTCTACAAAGTTCGCGCCACTAACCAAATCTTAACTCACCTCCACACTGGAACCCTTCCTGGCACCACAACCTTTATCATCGACCTCGCTGGCCAAATCCCCTAGCTCGACTTTACACCCAGGCCAGTTCCTCCTCCACTCACCGCCTTGCTAAGTGCGGATCTATCGCATTTTATCACCACTTTTTCTTCTTGTTAGTATACAACATCAGTTGATTGACTCTAAATTTGACCTTGTCTTCGTTGTCCTCCATTAGTTTGAGATTAAGCCATAAATCTTCGATGAACTTGATGTCCGACTATGAAAAGTTTGGACTGCAGAGTCAAAATCGAGCTCATCTTCTACTTTTGCGCGTAAGATGTGGTGGTTGGTGGTAGAGTGTAGGTTTTCAATCAACGGATTTTCAAAAAAATAACAAATAATTGACCAATTTTTCTGGACTAACCATTCCGAATCACTTGCTAGCCGGTTAACAAAATATATTAGCCGATAACCTGTTAACCAAGTAACATAAACGGTGTGATAAACACAAATTGATTAATTATTAGAAAATGGGGTAATCAATTAGTAACCGAATCAACTAACAGTGCTATTAGTAATAATGTTAAAATCAATAATCTGTGAAAGTCAGGATTCACTTATAACAATTTACTTAGGGGTGGCAGTTCGGTTATCGGTTAACCGGCCGGTTATCCACTAACCGGTAACTGAAGTAACCGAACTTCGGTCGGTTATCGAAGGCTGGACGAAATGGTTTTTGGTGTTAAAAGTGGTTCGGTTAATCGATAACCGAGATAACCAAGAAACCGAAGCCTATTTCGGGCGGTTTTCGGTAGGGGGAGTGGTTATTTCGGTTAACCGATATCCTGCCAATCGGTTACCGGTTAAAACCGAAATAGCCGAACTGCTACCCCTAAATTTACTCGTAAAATCTTAATCTCGAATCCGAAAAAATTTAGAAATTTTGTATGATTCAACACTAGCTTTTCAAGTAATTTACAAATTTAATGATTGAAATGGAAAACATATTATTACCACCATCAAATATATGTACGATATATAATCAATCAACGGCAAAACCCGATAAGCAGAAGGAAGTAACAAGTAGCAAATTCTCTTACATGCCTCAGATTATCTATTTCACCATCAAAAGAATTACAAGGTCCACAGAAAGACATTGCGGATTGAACCAACCCCCCAAAAGGAAAATTTACATATGTGAAAAAATCCCATTTCATACTAAACCGTGGAAAGCTTTAAGGAGGGATGGTAAAGGTTTCTCTTCATCTGGAAAGGGGGGTAAAAATGGATCTTTTTCCCTCTGAACACCACATTTACACATATCACTTATATTATCTACACAACACTAAAACACCCCACCAAAGGATCAACAAATTTGTGACGATCCAAAACCGCTTTCCTTGCAACAGTGAGGCCATTCATCAAACCCTTTTCAACTCTCTGGTCTGTCTTCTCAATCTCACCAATCATCAAGCCATTCTGGAGCATTGAGAACTTCGGTATCTTGTGAAGAAGAATCGGCTGCTGATGGAGGGTCGTCGTAATCCTGAGAGCAGGTTTGAGTATGGTGTGCGACTCGAGACGCTATTTCTTGTGGCACGGGAAGGGTCCTGTTCCTTATCCCTTCCCAGTCAATGCCACTGAACCATGGATGGTCTTTGACGGAACTGGTTCCTTGGCTGCCAAGTCGCTTGTTCACGTCACCTTCAAGTAACTGAAGAAGAGGAATGTTAATGGAACTGATAAGCTTCTCTACATTCATTAAGCAGAATCCGGGACAATGATTAACTAGTTACCCTTGAGAGTAGATCAGCAGCTTCTGGGGTTACAGTTGGGGGAAGCGTGAGCTGTCGCTTTGCAACTACTGCGTAAGTGTCGAGTTCACTCCCTCCCCAAGAATTAAATGGCATTTCTACCTGGAGCATGAAGTAGATCAACACCCCTAGAGCCCACCTGAAAATTTATTGGTTCACAAAACTAAATGAGAAACAAAACTTGGGCCTTTCAGAGGCACGATTTGAGCTCAAGAGAACCCAAAAAGAAGAGGCTAATTTTACCAGTCAGCTGGGAAACCATGTCCCATTCCGTGGATCATCTCTGGAGGTAACGAATCTGCCATCCCACAGATTGTGAATGTCCTCTCAGCAGATAGCTTCTTCCCGAATCTGAAGTCTACAAGCTGTAGATATCCTGATTGATCCAGCATCAGTAGATCCGGGGACACTCCTCTGTAGAGAATACCATCCTGCAAAGCAAATGTGTAGGTAAATATAGCGTGCAGCAAAATGCCTGCAACTGATGGACGGGTGATTGAAAATTTGTTAGTCGCGAAGAAGATACCTTGTGCAGATCCTCAAGTGCAATTACAACTGAGGCAGCACAAAACCGTGCACAAGGTTCGTCGAGTGGAGTGTCAAGTATGGATGATAAAGGACAAGCAAGGCAAGCGTTCAGCAGTATGCCTGCATATGCCCTATCTGCACAAGTACATAAAATCTGAGGGACAAATGCTGAAGGAAGCATGCTCCTCATTAGATTCTTCTCTTTCAAAACCAGTGCCTCTGTTCCGAACTGCTTGATCTTCTGCTTGGAAAACCTTTTTAAACTAAGTACCTTTCCTGGAAGGCAAACAATAATGAAGTTTTCATCAGTAAGCATTAGTTCACAAGTAATAATATACATTTTTTCCTTTCTGATCAAGCTTATCAGTGAGACTCACCTGAGTCTCTGTGTTGCACAAGCCCAATCTCACTGCAGTCATTGGAATACAAGCATCTTCTCCACTCCTAAACAGAAAAACCAGACCTGGCTGGGTTAATACTGGGTCTCTTCTTGTCAGGAAGCATAACAGTAAAAGTATAATTATGGAAAGAAAGATCACACTTTACCAGCTCTGATAGTTTAACTCCAGAAGGGGCAGGAACTTCGGTACTTTCAGCAGAATCCTTAGCGACATCTGAAGGTGAGCCGCTTGACCTGAATGATGTGAATCAGAAATAAGCCATTTAGACTTTACTATTTTCTCTTAAGGAGAAGATGACACCTCTCGGAACAGATATATGCTCCAAGCTTTCACTTACTTTGCCCCTTCATGTGAAAGTCTTGCTAGAGGGCCAACAACTGAATCAAACTTCTCCTTGTTTAACACAGAACAAATGCAATCACCCATAGCAACTGCTCTCAAGCCACTAATTCCTTCACCGAGAAGTGTCCACTCCCCGAAATAGTTTCCCTCTGTCTTCTCCATGGAGATCTTTTTACCAGTTTGCATATCATCGTCCTCTTTTACATTGTCAGACTTCAGACTTGGAACATTTGAACTATTCAGCAAGTCACCATCAAAAGTAAGCTGTACTTGTCCCTTCTGTATGACATAGAGAGACGAGAGTTCCTCGTTCTACAAAAAATATATATATATATATATAGATGGTAAGAACTCAAATGTGAATACATAGAGGATGTCGGTCACTTTTTGTGACATTAGATAGAAGCTCCACAGTTAGTAGCAGAGTTACCTCATTGACAATAATCTGCCCATCTGAAAATGAAATTTCTGATAGAGAATCAGCAATATGACTCAGCTGCAAGATGGTCAATCTTGAAAGAAGATCCACTGACCGAAGTAGCTTCAAGGATGTTAAATTTGAAAATTCTGACATCAGGATGCCACGAAAATCCTCTCTTCTTAGCGCCCATAATGTCCCACTAGTCACAGCTCGAACGGAAGCCTGAAGTGGCTTATTGTACCTAAATTTCCAATGTGAGTAAGATCCAGAAGCTAGACTTTTAAGTTCATATCATGCCAAGATTGGGCGAAGTTTACAACAAATAAAAGCAAAATCACAAGGGAAGATAATCTCTCAGGTTTACGAACCAGAAAATTATTTCTTTTTTAGAAACATGACAGTGTAGCAAGGATAAGAACCACGGAAATCAAACCCACATTAATGCTAGCTCTCCAAATGATGATAACTTCTCAGCTGAGTAGTGCTGTAATACCCTAGGCACCTCTCCATGTTTCTCTTCCTGCCGTAAAATTCCTGTCAGTTAAACTGTTCTCCATGCAATGAAGAATGAAAACGAATTCAAGGATAATGTCAAACCTGAGTAGCAAAAACCTCAAATTCCCCATCGCCAACGATATAGAAGCAGTCACCTTCACCACCCTGCAGATACATTATGATTTTTTCTTTTAGCTTGAAAATAGACTTACATTAACAACTTTAAACTAATTGCAGCTATGAGGTGGTTAAAATAAGTATTTTACAATGTGACTGTTGTCCTAGATCTTCTACAACCATACAATGGCACAGAAAATTAGCCTATTTATATTCAGCTGCCTGGTCCATATTCGCATTCTAGATGGCACAAAGCAGGTTTGAGATTGAAAACTAACCTGCTTAACTACAACCTCCCCTGGTTGGACTTCAACTCTTTGCATGCAGTCCAATAAAACTTGACACTGGGAGTCGGTAAGCTTTCTGAAAAGGAAGTGATCACGCAATGCCCTCTCTATTTGTGCCTACATCATATAAGCACCATGAACGCTCCAAATAAGTACTTACTCATGAAACGTTGGTAGAGATTACTGCAAGATGAGCTTTTAAGAATGGAAATCCCAAAATTGTTTGTGGCGACATTACTTCTTCTTCCCAAGTCTTCCTGTGTGCTGGAGATGGAGGAACCCATCCTTGGCCATTCTCAAGTGAACTCTCAATGGCACGAATACGTGCTCGAGATAAGTCATGCCTTACACGTTGGTTCTTAGAGTTCCATCCAATGGTTGAGGGAGATTCAGTTCCTGTCAACTCAACAACATGACGAACAGCAGGATGTGCTCCATCTGAAGTTGTTAATTGATCTACAGAATTCTGACAAGGCGATAACAAACAAGTGCGAAAAAAAGAGGGGCTCAGATAACGAATGATGAAGAATTAAAAGTATTATCATGGAGAAACCAAATGCTTGCAGAAGGAATAAGCAAACGTACCTGTGTTAGACCATTAATATGTACAACTATTATGGTAATATCATCTGTCCGAGTTTCATACTGTAGCCAAAGGCGATAAGATTCAGCAACAATTGCTGCACAAGCATCTCGAGGATCCTCATATTTTGCAACCTGAAAACAAGAAGCGCAATAATCTCTTCCTGAGGAGAAACCTACTGGAAAGAAAGAAATGAAAAAGGTCTGACCCGTAGCCATAACTCCAGGTGGAACAGAGCAAAGATGCAGAGTTCATTAGATAGTACAAAGTACACAGATTAAACCATCATTTTGGCCGTCCCACCATTGGTCATTATGGCTTCAACTTTAGAAGGTAAAAGTTTATGAGGAATAATCATGATTCCATTTTTGTTTTTTACACACCTGTTTATTTTCATTCCATTCCAAAGGAATGATGCATTGCCCTCTAATCCTTAAGGGGAGATTGTTCCCCTTTCCCTAACATCTTTAAAATTTTAACCATAGTAATAAATCTAACAAGGATTTCTTCCTTGCATCTACTAGAAGCATTTCATATGCAGCTCCTCTTTCAGTTTAACGACCAAATTGAAATTGTCTGATAACGACAATTAACAAGTAACCAACAGAAAAATCCAATTATGGAACCCATTAAACAAAGGCACAGAAGATACCATACCATGTCAACCACAGTCTGGCTTGAGAGGAACTCAAAAACACCATCGCTGGCAATCACGAAGAAAGGATGCTGAGCTGAAAGCTCCATATCCACAATCTCCGGATTAGCAACAACCCCAATCGTCTCGGCAATGGAATCCCCAATACTTCTCGTAAATGCAGTGCCGGGATACATCCCATTGGGAACCCACAACCTTGGGGGATCGCCATCATCACCTTCCTCAGTCCCCCAGCACTGAACCTCAGGATCCTTGAGCCCTTCAATCTGATCCAATGTCATCACCCTAGCTCCACATAGCTTAACCCGCTCGAGCTCATCCGGTCGAAACGGAGTCTGATCAATCGACAAATCCACCGCCACAATCTCCTTCCCTCGCTTCTCCGCTATCACCGCCCTCGAATCGCCAGCGTTGGCCACATAAATCGTCTTCCCGCGGACCAAAACCGTAATCGCCGTCGTCCCGCTCATGCTGTCGTCCAGGCTCTCGGCGTGCAGCTGCGAATTCGTGGCCAGGAAAGCCGAATGGCAAGCCTCGACGGCGTCCACGCGGAGCTTCCCGCCGCGGAGCAGATTCTCGCACAGCCTCCGCTTCACGAACTGCGAGCACTGCGCCCCGTACTCGCCGTGCCCGTCGAACACGCCGAAGAAGTGGTCGTCGTCGACATCGCCGCCGGCGCCGCCGCTCGCTCCAGTTCCGAACGGTGTGTGGATGCAAAAGCTATCCTGATTCGCCTTATCCAACGCGTCCGGGTAATATCCTCGCTGCGACAGGTACGAGTACCTGAGCTCGTATCCGCCGACCTTGACGGTTCTGGATCCATCGGGAGGGAGGAACTGAGAGGAAACCCTAGAGAGCCTCGTTATCCCGAGCTCCTGGTCGGGGAGGCCGTGGATTTCGTCGCGGTTCTCGGAATCCGGTGATGAGGATCCGGGAGAGAAGACGGGGAGGCCATCCCTGTGCTCCTCGGCCGGCGGCGGCGGACGAGGAAGAGAAGCGACGGGGCGGCGGCGGTGGTGGTGCTTGAGCCTGGGTGTGAAGACCTCGCCGATGCAAGCTCGAGAGTAGACGCAGCCCATATCTCACTGTGGATTCATTACCGCCGGCGATTGTGGAGTGGATGAGGGAGGGAGGAAGAACCGTTACGGGGAAGGGGAAAAATGGAGGTAATAACGGAAAGGAAGAGAGAGAGAGAGAGAGAGAGAGAGAGCGCCAATAGGAAAGTGTGGGCAGGCAGACTGTGTGTGAGACTGACTGACAGAGGGAGGAAAATGATTAAAATAATCATGTGACTGTGTAATAAATAATACAGTAGAGATAAAACAAATAATAGGAAAATGGGAAAAGGGTAAGAAGACGACGAACTGACTGCTGAGTGCTGACTGAGTTACTGAATCGCCCGATCGAGGAAAAAAGTCAAAAACTGAAAGGGAAGGTATTCAATGTGAATATGTGATCAATTTATCATTGTAGGATATGGTAATTACTAATTAGTGATTGTGGGTAGAATTTCTTTTTTTTAATAAAAAGTGCGTTCTATTTTAATATTGTTAAAATTTGAAGAGAAGAGTAAATTATTGAAGTAAGGAGCAAAAAGTTATTTCGAGTTAGTTGCGATTGTTAAATAGATGTATTGTTGAGAATGCATGTATAATATTATACATGTATTGTCGAATTTGATGCATTGTAGAATACAACGTTTGGTATGTGTGATTGTGTTTGTCGCATCAGCCAAAAACTGAGACAAAACAATCTCAACTCAACAATCTCAACTAAAAGTTGAGATATAACAATCACTCAAAATGAGTGATAGTTTCTGTCATATCACAGAAACAATCCTGTGGGCTGTGACAGAAACTATCCATGTATTGTTTCTACTAAAAAACAAAAACAAAAATGATGCATTGCAAACAATACATGCATAATGACAATCTCAACAAAACAATCTCAACAAAACAATGGCGCAACTTCCGAACGACCCCTTCATTTCAATAACTCGGAATCGATAGTATTATATGCAATGAGCAGATAAGATTCTAGATGCAGTGGAAGCGGCCAAGCAAGAAGCAAGTTATGTCTGCAATTTCGGATGCTGCAACAAGAAGTATAGGTACGCGGTAAATAAAATATTACAAGGTTCATCTTTGACACTCTCCCGAGGACGTGTAGAGATCACCAATCAATAATGGTAGCATGTGGACTGGTGAAGTCGTCTGGTGTCGATATTGTGATCATCATGTGCATGATATCACTAAATCAACTTTTGAGAATCGTATATGCGAGAACATAGCATACTTCTAGGTAAGTTGGATCTTTTACCGTGAAAACCTTGTAACACATATTTTTATATCATATAGAATGGCTTATGTATTGGCAAAATACACTTGCATAGCCAAAACTTTCACCTTTGTGCCTCTTATAGCCACATTTGGCAAAATACCACTAATAGCCACTTTTGAAAGATGTTGTGTGCCAGATATAGCCATTTTCGTTAGAAACTATGACGGTGTTAATAACTCCGTCAACTTATTTGACGGTTGGCTGACGAGGCGCCAAATCATCAACCACGTCAGCGGCAGCTAAGCAAAAATTGACACGTCATCTTAATAATTTATTTATTATTAAAAAAAAATAAAATCTTCCCCATCTACCTTAAAAAAACAAAAAGAAAATCAAAATTCTCTCGTCTCTCTTAATCTTCTCCCTCATCTTCTTTGATGGCGCCGCCAGCTTCGGCTGGTCCTCTCCCCTCACCTCTTCCTCATCCTCACCATCAGCTCCAAGCTCGACGGTGGCTATAGACAACAAACGAAGGAGATCAGATGGATGCCAGAACCCCGTCGCCGGGACGAGATCGGAGGGATGCCTATCTCTTCTTGGATTACAAGATCCCCAATTGGATTTCTTCAAGGTCTCCCATTCGAGAAGAAATAACCCTAGAAAATTTGGGAACAGGCAAGATGCGAAACTAGATGTTGCAGATGATGTAGCCGAGAATAGATTTGTCGTAGGAGAAGAGGATTTTTCGAACGGGAGAGATGACTGCTAGGGTTTTGTTAAATTTCAATGGTAGCGGTGTATCGAAAGCTCTTGGGCTCCGCCGCCACTCACAACGTCGAATCCCCATCGCATTCTTATTCCTCTTTAACACCGTTGCACCATCTCCCCGTCGATTACTTTTGTGGCCCCATCGCATTCGTCTTCCTACTCCGCCAGTAGCTGCAGTGATGCGGGCTTCTTCGTCCACTCCACCAGCGGCAGGGGAGGATGAGTAGGTGGCGGCGGCGTCAGATTTGCAAAGATTGATGATTTATTCACTTGCTATTTCTTCGTTGATGGGGATGATGAATTAGAGAGAACGAGAGCGGCAGTGATTTCGAAGATGGGAAGGTGAAGAGGTGGTGGAAGACGATTGAGATTATTGTTTTTTTATATTCTTTTTTTATGAATTTATTATAATTTTCATTTACTGTAATTAAAATCAAAGGATAAAACTTTAATGATTTTCCACATGTCATTATTTCTCAATAAAATATGCCACATCAACCGTTGATGTTAGTCCAGTCACTTTGTTAGATAAAACCGTTAAAGTATTGGAAGGAAGTGGCTATTAGTGGTATTTCGCCAAATGTGGCTATAAGTGGCACAAATGTGAAAGTTTTGACTACACAAGTGTATTTTGCCTTTTTGTATTTTCAAAAGTAATACTTGTTGGAAAAGTCAAGGTCAAAGACCACGCTAGATAGGTTTTATTATATATTATACATGGGTTTCCCCAAAATTTGAATTTAGATGGACTGAATCTCAAGTAAAGAAAGAAAATTTATTTATAGAAATAATATTATAAAACAATTACAACTATTCTTTAATGTCTCCAAATGTTAGCTTTTCTCTCTTTTGTAAGCTAAACTACAACAGGAAGGGATCGAATAGATTCGCGTTTTAGGTGGGTCGGTCGGTCGGCGTAATGGTAACGAGTCTCTTCTGCTACCACTAGATCTGATTACATACAAATACAGCAGCGCTTCAACTTCGTGGCCAGGGGAGGGGATACACGCAGGAAGAGGAGCCCATGATCAATCATGGCGCTGAAAGGTGTTAGCGGAGTGATGGTAATGGTATATATAGCAAACCTTTTTTCAACTAGCTTATGGTGTTCGCCGAGCGTTAGAGACGACGCGTCATTATCAGTCGTCGGATCGTGCGTTTCACGTTCCGCAGCCGTTGAATGAGAGTGATGATAATTTATTTACAAAATTGTCATCGATCTTTTCCATCCAACGACAGCGAAACTCCCCACACACTATCCAACTTCTTATGCATTCTTGTGAATGGGTTCTCACATATTTGTACTGTGAGCACGATATCCAAATTCAACATTTTTTTACCATTATTTTAGTGAGGTTCGTTAACGATATTTGGTCTCAAACTCATTAGCATGTCAGGCCTTCAACTCCCGATAAGACCCCATCACGACAAACATGACTATAGAGCTAACATATACTGTAGTGGCTAACATTCATACATAAACCTCACCCAATAACTTGAGTTATTGGAACCACACGATTTATGACATGGTATCATAGCTGGTTTGTCCTTAAGATCGCATGTTCAAGTATCCAAGTCCCCCCATATTAGTCATTCTCTTAAAGCAAATGGTATGACGGGTTTGTCCAGATTTCAAACCTCATGAGTTGGCCTTCATATGAAATAACGTTCAAAAAATTGATTACCATTCATGCCTTAATCTGTACCAAGCACTCTGAGTTAATGAATTGATTATCTTCTTTCTCCTCATCTTACACTTTGCCTTCTCTAATAACTCCCTCTCCCTAGCTACCTCGAACCTTCCCTCTCTTCACAAACATCTTGTTTACATTTCAGAACCCAGCCCGATTATTTTTCCAAATAAATTCAGTTATTTATCAACTTGTCCGGCGTCCAAATCAGTAAGGGTATGTAATTAGGTTTGTCAGTTGTCCACAAAAACAAAAATGTGTGTGTGGCCTTTGAGCACGACATTGACCACAGCCAACTTGCTGGTCTGCGCTTTTTAGTTGCTCTGGTGGCCTTTCTCTGGTCCACCCACTGTTCATCTTATCCCTTCCATCTCTGCATATGCAGGCATTGGCTTTTAATTTGGCTTAAACAAGTAAGTGAAGGCTTAAAAAGGTAAGTTTTGATAACAAGAGAATGTAAGAAAAAGAAGGCATTATATTGGTCTAGCGATTCCATCGTTGATTTTGAACTTGGAGGTTTCATGTTGGGCCTCATGTTCTTCATATGTAATTTGTGGTAGAGGTTGAAGGTAAAGCTTTTTTGTTGCACTGAAAACGGCTGGGTATATCTGTAATTTTTTTTTTACTGGAATGACAATTGTCAAAACTTTCAATAAATGGTCTTTTATATGCGTGGATTGATATATATATCTTTTTATTATTACCCGTGGATTGATATTAAAAATAAAGTTAGTGAAAAGGCCTAAGTTAAAATAAGAAGGACTCCGGTTAAAGAAATTACACCAATCTTTTTAAAATGAAATTCTGAGTTGCGAACTATTTAATTACCAAATTATCCAAATTATTTTATAAATTAAATTACAATATTTCGGACACTACAACCCATCCGGAACTACAAATATTACGAATCTTTGTTACTGTCTCAGTAATTCACTCTTGGGAACCTAATTGTAAAGCAGATTGAGTGTAATCATTTTAGTTTTTTTTTTTTTTTTACTAATAACCTGTAGGATTTTCATTAATCAGCCAAGGAGGTTACATTGTCTAGCTCTAGCCGATCTAAAAGAATCATCGGAGGCCTATCAACCCAAATAGTTTTTTCATTCCACTTTGTATCTACGTGTGCCATTGTGTGAGCTGCAACACTAGCTTCCCTTGGTGCATACTACCACGAAGCTTCGACTAGTTGTCCGAGCAATCGTCGGATGTTCCTGCAGACAATCCCCTTCTCGGTTTTGATTCTTTCCGCCGCCGTAAGATCTGTCTCAAGGTTTAATTAGTTCGTCTCCAAATCGGGTTCATTAGATTGAGATGAAACGCTGTCTGAACGCCTAGCTCAACCGCTAGAGCTTTCGTATCCTCTGGGTCCCTGATACCTGTAACCATCTTCGCCGCTGCAAAGAGGAACTGACCTGCCGAATCCCTCGCCACAACACCAAGCCCTACACCTCCTCCCGGTAGAATACCCGCATCCGAGTTGATTTTAATTCGGCCGAATGGCGGGGCAGTCCATTGCTTCGCCGGGTTTGCCACCTGTACGGGTTGTTCTTTATCTTATCTCAATTGGTATCC